GAAATTGCACCATCAGGTTTTTGATTTTATGTTCATTAATGATGCAAATTTGAAAAAGAGGAGTGATAGAAACAATATAAACAACTCAGGAGTAGGAGAGACAAAATATAACTCCATGGAAATAAAAATAATTTTGCTTGTCCAGGTCATAGAACTTTTCACTTTTAATATGTGTATATTGATAATATTGATAAGATGAATACCTACATTTAAAAGATTTAATGAGGCTACTTTTAACTAGAATGATCATGAATGGATTTAAAATCAAAGTCATACCCAAGATCTAATAATTCATTGAAGACATTTTGAGAACCAAGATAAGGCTGTGGCTTTTTAAGTGTCAAAATAATAAAAGCTCAATACTAAGATCGTTCTGTCAGTGTGATAGCTTCCAAAGGTAGGCACGGGGGCTAACGTGTTGAACTAGTTTAACACAGGTTTTTCTTCTTCCTATTTTTATACTCATGTAATCTCACTTAATTTAGAAACAATGATGTGCCCACACATGCATTTAGTGAAAAGATCAGAGAAAAGGCACATTCTGCAATATAAGGATAATTCTTCTATCAAAAAAAAATTCTTCCAAAAGTTTTCCAGATAACTACCTATATATGTTCTCACTGAATAGTTTACTTTTAAGAGAGCACCAGATATTCTTCTACTGTATTTTCCATGATAGCTTTTTTTCTCAATAGAGAATTTTTTTTAAATACCAGACAGAATTTTAAAAGGCTGTTGGAAAGGATTCATTTAATTAATAATATTTTACTGTTTTATGTACTCAAGAACTAATTAATAAACTTCAGGGAAGAGCTAAAAATAACTGCTGAGTAATAATCAATTGTTGGAGCGTACCAATATACAGTATATCACTTTGTTTCTTATAAAATCCATTAAGCAATGAGACACACCTTGGGGAAATTGCCAAAGTCTTTTCAACATGCTGTGGATAATTTGAATGACCGGATTCCGGTCAGTTAAAGGATCCCAGAATGTCCCACCGTGAACCAAAGCTAGAAATAGATAGTGGTAGAACCCTACAACTGCATAACACTTGAAGACGTTAAAATGACTGATAAAGAGTCTGGTCCCTAATTGTGTGTGTGTGTGTGTGTGTGTGTGTGTGTTCGGGAACCCTGATCGCATCGGGGTTACACGTTGCTGATGTTTTAGCAGTGAGAAACCACCCGTCACGCCAGAGGGAGAAAGCTATGGCTTTTCACCCTTTTCAAGAAATTCAATGTCAGAAACCTCCAGGGGCAGGTGTTCTATCCTGTCCTCGAGGTTTTCTGAGTCAGCATCGACTCAATGGGAGTGACTGCATGCTAATCTCTCTCCCACGCAATTAAGCCAGAGAGAAGTCAGCAGAATGCTACCTAGAGCTCACTGCTCCAATGGTAGCTGAGAATCATGTGCATGAAATGTTCTCACATTTCAGGAATAACTGTTCTTTCAAACAGTTATTTTAATAATTCACTTTCAGAAAATTTTTCCAATAACTAGTCTGTAAATCTAGTCTGTAATCACTAAGGTACTGACCCACATGCCCTGACCAAGTAGCTGACTTTTGCATTTCAAAGGACTCCAAGCTGAAACTGGTGGTCTACCATCTCTCACTAATGCTCTGTCAGACCATCCCTCTGCCATTTTTGTTGTGCCGGGTACCGAGTTGCTGAGTTTGAACGATTAACCTTGCAGGGACAAGCCCACTCAATCCAGATCGCACTACGTAGTCCTCCTCCTTTATTCTTAGTGCTCTGAAAATTAAGATCCAAATTCAATATTCACCTGCCAAAACTAACCAGGAATACTAGTTGCTTGACCAAATTAATGATTGTATTCATTTGAAATGTATGTTATGCTCTTTCTTTCTTCTAGTTTGTATCGTGTTTAAAAAAACGTAACACTTTATGGATAAGTATATACAGTGAACCCTCGCCACTTCGCGCTTCGACTTCCGCGGCTTCACTCTATCGCGGTTTTTGCGTAACAGCGCATGCTGTCATTACTGCCACTGATTGGCTCATACTGTACACGCTTCTGTCTGCATCGCTAAGTATCGGAGCTACGTATCAGATGCATTTTTGCTTTTGTACAGTGTACTGTAATTGTTTGTGATTTTTAAAGAAATTTTATCTAAGCCCTATGATGGCTCCTAAACGAGCTGCTTCTTCTAAGCCTTCTGACAATAAAAATAAGCGCCAGAGGAAGATGCTCACCATCCAGGAAAAGGTAAAACTTTTGGATATGATCAAAGATGGCAAGAAAATCGTGGAGTTTGCATGCCATTTCAACTTGAATGAGTCTTCCGTTCGCTCCATCTGTTGTACTTCATAATATAATAAATAATAAATGATAACTGTAACGTCCAAAATGTTTTACTGCATTTTCCCTTTTTCATTTAATAAATTGGGTAATACGAATGTAATGGTGACTAAAGGGTGTTTTTCATGTCCTCTATGCTCTAACTACGAAAATATTTGATTTACAAATAAGGAATCCTACTTCGCGGAATTTAATTTATCACGGTAGGGTCTAGAACCGATTAACTGCGATAAACGAGGGTTCACTGTATACAAATTGACCACCATCCAATGTGCGGAAGGATTGGTGGGGCACAAGGAGGAGGTGTTTGGCTGCTAATTTAAAGATTGGCAGTTTCAACCAACCAGCAGCTGCTCACGAGAAAAGACACGGCGATTGGCTCCCACAAAGATTACAGCCAGGAAAATCCAATGGGCGTCTTTCCAGCCGGTCCTATCGAGTCACTGTGAGTCAGAATCCAATCACCGAATACAGCAAAGATAATGACGACATAAGACCTGCTATTCATCATGAGAAACAAAAGATCTGTAACTAATAAAAGGGGGTGTCACGGTGAGGGATTTTTAAAGGTGCTGTTTTAGACAGGCCAAAGATGAATGGTGAATTGCTAAGAAAGAAGATGAGAGAGGTTGATTCTGATGTAACTGATATGGGAAAGGCCCAGGCTTTATGGATATTTTTCAAAAACTCTCCAGATGATTTCGATGGGCAGCCAGGGCTGAGAACACAGAACTAGGAGCTATCAGAGGACAGAATGAGAGCACATCAGGAATACAGGTATAATCTCGCAACTTTCAACTCTGTAGACTGAAATTCAGTGACTTTTACAACCTCGGAAGAAAACTCAGAGTACTGCCAGGCCTTAACAAGTCTGCCTGTAAGGGGAGTGTGGAGACCTGATTAGGAAAAGAGGCAAGCACACCTGAATCTGCTGCCAGCTGCGGAAACAGCTGGGGAACTCAAAGAAGGCACACAGGGAAGGGGAGGATATCGCTGAGAAAGACAAGGCCTGGGATCCCCTCTAACTCCATTATGGACCTGTGATGGGTGATAGGTGGACTAACTTTGTGACTGCAATTGTGGACAAGAACTCACTGCCATCGCTTCCATTCCGACTCAGGCAGTGTGCCCATAGGACGGAAGAAAGGACCCTGTGGGGTTCCAAAGCGATGCATTTTTATAGGCACCATCTCTCTTTTCCCGAGGCACAGCTGGTGAGTTTCAATTGCTGACCTTGCAGTTAGCAGCCCAAAGCTTAACCCACAACACCACCAGGCTCCTCAATACCAGGCAACGACTGTGCTCATCACAAACCATGCTTCTTAGGAGTTCCACTAGAAAAACAATATGCTTCTAGTTGACCTTAAAATAATTAAACGGAAACACCAAAGACCACTTCAGCATTAGAAAATCATTCCAAACATGATCCTGATAACACCTGAGCAAACTCACTTTCTGGCCATCACTTCAAGAGCAATTGACCGAATGTTAATATTTATGTTGGAAGGAAAGAGATTTCTGTAAGTTCTTAGGAATACAAAATACATCTTGAAATGTAAATGTCCAACATTTGGGAATAATGATAAAGCTATAGTTAAAGAAGAAAGTCTCTATGGTTTACTCATAATCTAAGCAATTGTGATTCTTAAATAATTGTGCTAAATTGTGGCCAATTATTTATTAACTGAAGAATTATTACCAACAATTTGTATCAAATTTAAGTATACACACTTCCTAATCCTACCTCTGAGATAAGTAAAGATTAATATTTACTTTTAGAAATATCAAAAGTAGGACTCATCTTCATTGTCTTTTTAGTACCAAGAATTAATCCATTTGAATGATATCCAATGTAATCAAGTTAATCAAATTATTGAATAAGTTCCTGGCTGTATGTTTAGAAAGGGCTTTGGATATAGTATAAGAAGACCATCAAACTATCAGGCTTAGAGTAAATGTTTGGTTGTTTTTTTTTTACTTGCACTGCAATGAATTCAGCTGGCCACCAGAGAGAGCTCAGTCCCTATATTTTATTAAAGAGAATCATGCACAAGTTGGAAATTCTCTACTTATCTGAAATACCTGCAACACTGTAGAAGAAACTCCCAAATCTATTGTTTAAACATTTGTAAACTGCAGAGGCAAGCCCTATAAATGAAGGTCTCATATATGGCATTTGATAAATCACTTGTTTCCTGCTCCCCTCTTTTGTGCCATGCCTCCCAATAGTTAGCTCTAAAGGTTTGAAGTAAGATCTACAGTGAAGAAAGGCTTACGTTTGCGAGCGCGCGTGTGTGTGCAGCGCCCACCACCCCCCAGCAGACCATCTCGGAATGACGTCTACTGCTGATACTGATGATAAGGCCTCTTTACACACTAGAACTGAATACATTTTCAAATGACTCAAAAACACCTTGGTCCCTGGGAAGGGCCGAGACACTTTAGAGGAAAAGTCATGTGAAAAATTATAAATTAGTACTTGAAGGTTGGTAGATACTTAATATCATTTAATAGTCTGATTCTTGATTATAGGATTTTTAAAGATTGTTAAGCACACACACATTACTTTGCAATAACTTGGAAAACCATAATAGATGCTATCTTAATTTCACCTACATCATGAACTTAATTTTTGCCTCCATCCGTGGTAAGTACATTAAGCATAAGGAACATACACTCAAGTTTATCCTCAGGCCTTCCTCTTTCAAGCAAAGACAGGTAGCACACAATATCCTTCAGATGGATTACTTCCGGGGAACTTGTATTAGCAGGAGACATGCGTGGAGGGGTGATGGCTCCTTTATTCATCCTCAAGCCTGTAAAACATTAGATGATATTTTAAAAATCTTCACAGTACATTGAAACATAAAACAAGAAAGAAAATAAACAATAATGCATAAACAATGCAATGCACAGCACTATTATTTTATTTTATAGGATCAATGGTGATTCTGCAGTAAAATCCCAGCCTTCCATGTTGGACACCCAGATTCAGCGCATCTCACGCACAGCTACTGCTACCACTCACCCTTTGGCCAGTGGAGGGCTGTGTGTTATTGGGATGCTGACATCTCAGGAAAGCTTCTTGGATAAGACAACTAGCAACAAGACCTAACTCTCTACTTGTGAAAATCAGCCAACGTAAGCCTTACGGATAACAACAGTCATATATCCCCAACTAAAGGTGAGGATAATGGTAGATGCTTGGTCCTGTTGTGTCTGCATCGCATTACGAATCACAGGCCAAGTGAATGATAGCTAATGCCAAGTGGATGACAATTCACAAGTAAAATAAACACAAAATTTTGCTATTGATTTGATTCCAACATACAAGGGGGTAACACCCCCAAACCGATGCTTATTTGTTTTGTTTTGTTTTTTTATCTGAGGGGGATAGTGTATTTGGAGTTTGTTCCACTAGGTCAGACAGTTAATCAAGCTTTCTATTTAGAGGTTCTGAAAAGATTGTGTAACGGTGTGCGACAAAAAAAAAAAAAAAGGCCTGATTTGTGGCAGACGGAGGAATGGTTTTGCCACCACAAAAATGCACCTGTTCAAGCAGCTATCTCAGTGCACTAGTTTTTTGCACACACAAAAAAGCAGCAGGTCTCTCTTTTTTCACACACCTGACTCACCTGACCTCACTCCTGGCTACTTCTTTTTGTTTCCATGAATGAATGGGGGACATGAAAGGATCTGATGACATAGATGAGGTGAAGAAAAAACACAAGGGAGGTGTAGTCAGCCACCCAAGCAGATAAGTTTGAAAAATGCTTCCAAAAATGCAATTGCAGATTTAACACATGTATTAAGTGTAATGGAGAGTACTTTGAAGGTGATACAGTTGTTTTGTTTTAAAAAATTAAATATATCACTTTGGGAGGAAAATCCATTTGGGGGGTGCAGGTATAGCCCCTTGTACAGAAACCTGATGTTGGCAGAGTTGAGCTGAGTCCTCTGGCGATCCTCCCACTGGATTTTAAGGACCAAAACACCTCTTAGAAGCAGATTGCCAGGAATTTGTTTCCTGAAACATCTCTATGTGGGCTCAGACCTACCATCTTTTGGTTAGTAATTGCACACTTAACCCATTGTGTGCTACACGCATAACAGCAATAGCAGCTATGACCTGGGCATGTGATAACCACATTGGCTGTCCTTCCTGATATTCTATAAATCACCCTCCCTGCCCACCGCGAAGTGTTCTGGGCAGGACCTTATTGCCCAGGTGATTTGGATAGCAGAGTTGGGCATATCCAAAAGCACTTTCATAATACACCTGTCTCTGCTCTCAGCAGTGTCAACTATAAATCTGCTCAGGAGGATAGACACTTAGATTTTAGGAAGAAAGTTTGTAAGGAATGTGCACATCCTGACTGTCGCGATGGGGTCAGACCTGAGAGCCATGATGAGAATGGGGCGGGATGGAGTGATGCTTTCTTTCCCAGTAGGGACGCTGTGAGTCAGAAGCAACTTGACGGCACCTCACCACCGCAGAAACAACTTCTTTCACGACCCCATGAATTGAATGTGCTATTATGAGGGCGTTACAACCCAGAATTCAAATGGTCCCTTCATCCGCTCTCTTCATTTTCTGAGCCGAGCCATAGGTCCTTCAAGTACCCGTCGCTATGCTTTACCCGGGGTCCATTGGTACAGCTATTACCAGAGGCATGGACGGTAAGCACATTTCCCTCCTTAACAGAAGCTGATTATCTAACAAAAATTAACATAACTATTTTTATAAACCAAAGCAGCCAGTAATCGTAAAATAAACGTGAACTGGAAAACAACAGCAACAACAATAAAACCCAAACTGGCCTGAGTAATTCTGACTAGACAAATACGACTGCAGGAACAAGGCATTCTAACACATGATAAAAGACATGTTGGGTACTGACCTCTGACGTAACCATGATTTCCAGACTTGGAGAACACAGCACTGGAGTTATGGTCGGATCAGCCACGACCTAACTCATCCTGCCTGATGAGCTCATGCACTCTTCAGCGCCACCCTGATCCCCACCCTACCCTAGGACTGGAATGGTTTCATCAACTTAATCTTCTATACCAAAAGCTCAGGGGAAGCAAAAAACGGATATGGCATGAGAGGATGTTAATGTATTATATATCTTCATTTATTGTAAATATTTATGGTAATTTATACTTGTAAAATCAAGATGCATGATACTTAATCAGTGGCTTTTGTAACACAAAATATAAATAAGTGGAAATTATGAAGATTACATAATCTTCTGTTTATCTTTTCTAGATACAATGCATATATTGAACATATACATAACATTTACATTTAAGTCACCCTTTCGAAGAAACACATTAAGTTTCTAAAATACTTTTTATTTTACATAAAGAGTAATTATATCTCATGACCCATTGTTACTGCACACTGCACCACATATCCAATTAAGGTCTAGTTATATATTCAAAGTAACAACGTTTATCAACAAGAAAGTATGCATGCGCTTGAGAAGATGCATTAAAGAAATAATCAACTCTTCTATTTATAATTCGAATTATAGCAAAATTGGAGAGCTCAAATCTATACAGTTGCAGTTATTTGCAGCCTTTATAGCAGGGCACCGGTGCCATCGGGCTGACGTGAACTCAGCGGAACTCTGTTGGGCAGGTTACAATTGCCCTTGTGAGTTCCCAGACTCTACCTGTGTACGAGAACAGAAAGTCTTTCTCCTGAGGAGCTGCTGATGGCTTTAAATGACAACCCTGCAGGTCCCAGGCCCACATGTAATGAATACACCACCGGAGCTTCTGTGGGGACCCTAGTTTTTGCCAATGTCCATTAAGGGACACTTAGATAGTTTCTGTCTTTTTGCTACGGGGAACTATGCTGTGCTGTATATGGTGTGCAGATATCTGTTCATATCTGTTCACACTCCATTGTAGTGCAGTGAAATTTCTTAATATGGTTCTTTGATCCATGTTTCTGTAGCTCCTGCTTAATCATCTGCAAATAGGTTGTGTGAAGCACTAATGGAGGGCTTGGTTAGTCTGGTTACCAGCCCCCTTGCCGTAAGACAGCTATCTCAGAAGCAGTAACAGAGACAATTTCCTGGATTGTCAATAAGAAGAGTCATCAGTGGGAAAAGTATTTTCAAAGTCTACTTGAAGTTTCAGAGGCAGAGACTAGAGCGCATGCCAAGCCAAGACCAGAGGCAGAGGAGAGCACAAGGCAGCGCAGAGAAGCAGCTCTGAGACTATGAGACTGTGAAGCATTGGCTGGGTTTCCTGGCCCATACACAGAGGCCAAGAGACCTCTCAGCAGCTAAGAGGCTGTCAAGCAGAGAGAAAGATTTTGGTGCCAGCCAAGGAGAGGTGCTGCTATGGACAAAGTACTCTATCTTTAATGTTTTCTGACTTGTGGTAACTTGCTACTTTCCTGATAAGCTGTAAAAGACAAACTCTGCACTATTGACTTAATTCTGACTCATAGTGACCCTGTAGGACAGAGAATTGCTCCTGCGGGTTTCAAGACTGCCAGCTTTACAGCAGTAGAAAGCCTATCTTTCTCTTGCAGAGTGGTTTTGAACTGCTGACCTTTGGCTTATCAGCTCAATACATAACCATATGTCACCAGGGTTCCTACTTCCCTAATATATAACCCCCTCCCAATAATTTTGAGTGTTCTTTTTGAAGCACTCTTGGATACACTTTTTGTACATCTGTGTGGCCATTGCAACAAATGATCAAACCAGCATAAAAGTAGAATGTAGCGGGAGGAGTAGTTGGTGTCAGAAAAACCTGAAAATGAATGGAAGATGGAGGATGGAGGCGGGTCTGAGCTTTGCCTTCAGGCAATAGGTATGCGGTTGGTGAGGAGTTGGCTTCTCTTTACCCCTCCTCACTGTTGTCACAGGTATGTATACTCCAAACTAGAGGTGTTGCTTCATAGAGTATTTCTGGAGAAGTCTGTGCATGTAGGTATTGGTGATGTTGCTGAAAAAGGTATCCGTGATGAAGAATTTGTTGATCTTGCAAAATTCTACCCAGCTATTTCCAGGTTCTTTTGAATCTCCAAGAAAATATTTCCAAACTGCTGCTTCCTCATTGTTTTCCAACTTCCGCACTCTAATCGCCAAAAATATGAACGCATCTTGATCGCAGGTTTAATCAATTTCAGCCGGAAGAAGTTGCTCTTGGCCAGGGGTTGCTGGGTCACCCTAACTCATGGCGACCCCATATACAATAGAATAAAGCACGGCGTGGCCAGGTGCCACCCTCACAATGGTTCCCATGTTTGAATCCCATGTTTCGGTCACTCTCTGTCAATTCATCTTGTGGAGGGCCAGATTGTTTTTTGCTGCCCCACCACGTTACCAAGCATAGGGTCCTTCCTCAAGGACTGGTCTCTTCTGTGAACATGACCACAGTCGATCATCCCAGCCTCGGCATCCTGCCTCAGAGGAGCACTCTAGCTGTCCATCTCCCAGGAGAGGCTTGTTGTTGTTCTTTTGGCACTGCCAATGTCCTTTATTAGCACTGTAAAACAAATGCATTCAATCTTCTTCATCCTTCCATATTCAATGTCCAACTTTCATTCTTCCACATTCAATATCCAACTTTGTGTATGAGGAGATTGAAAACATCCTGTATTGAGTCAGGTGCACCTTAGTCCTCAAAGTAACATCCTAGCATGTGAAAAGTGGGCATTGAATAAGGAACAAC